AACAACTACAAAGTCGTGTCTTTTTCGGCGTTGTTTTTTATGTCTACACTAACGTGGATAACAGAGAAAGAGCTAGAGCGAGTTACTGAGAACAAAGGAGACGAATTTCGTAGGGAGAAAAACATGGAAATTCAAAGCGGAAATGCTAGCGGCCAGCGAGGAGCCGCCAACAAGGTGAAAATGAGCGGCGGTGAAAAATAAAAGCGGACATAAACACAGGAAACAAAATATTGAGTAAACACATACGTCAATTCCTGCATAAAAATAATGTGTAACCACAGACGGCCCAGACGTAGTATCTGTCACTGAATGAATATATTAATATTCACATGGACAAATTAATGCGATGAGTCGTCGAAACTCCCATGAACTAAAATAGTCCAAAAGTCAAAATATAACAAAACAAAGCTAAGATACCTTCAACTGAACGTATCCTTGTCTTTCCTGGCCGGTTTAAGTGGCATTTTGTTGAGTTTTGCAATTGTAGGTACTATCCACTAAAGAAGAATTAAAGGCTGGCTACAAAACAAACAGACCATCTCCACGCCCCTTCACACTAAGCGCTATAAATTCGAGAATAATCGACGAATCCGCTCCAAATTGCCATCGGCTAATCTGCAGGTAACGTGTGCTCCTGCTTCTTGCTCGCTGTCTCCACCAAACCCAACGCAACTGCACAATAATTGCTTGCTCATCAACAACCACTGTTGACCTTTACGCTTCGATATGACCGCAAACTACCAGGTTTAATACGCGATGTGAATATTCAAGCTTAGCAATTTGGAGCGGATTCGTCGATTATCCTTGAATTTATAGCGCTTCGTGTGAAGGCGCGTGGAGATGGTCCGTTTGTTTTGTAGCCAGCCTTTAATTTTTTTTGCTAATTTGATCTATTAGACTTGAAGCCATTTTCATTGTCGTCTCCGTTTAGCATTACACGATTTAATTTTTTTTTGTTTATAAGTATTATTAAACAGAGCTTCGCTTTTAGCCCTGGCTAAATCTATATATTATTTTGTTTTCACTTACGGACGCCTGACAAAAATGTACCGTTAACTTAAAACTGTAACCAAGAATTTCAGTTGGCATCGAAGATCGTTAGCAATTAAAAATTCAAATCTTTCTTTCTTTTTTAGCGCTTGCACGTAAAAATGATCGGACATCAGTTACTAGTCAATACATGTGTTGTTTTAAAATCCAAGTTGCCGTTCTTAAAGGGGCTGTCACCCCCGGCGCATGCGTGAGCCAACGAAAACATGAAAACAACTCTTGAAAACGTCGTACTGGCAGCGAATTAACGACGGCTACTTCACAATGAGTGATGGAATCTTAGATGGAATCTTCCTTATAGTTCAGTCACAGAACCTTTCTGTTAAGTTATTTTAGAGACTGCTAGCTCCAGGATTTTTTTTGTGTGTGCTCAATTAAGTATTTATCTTGATTCAAAGCAACGATAAACACGACCGTTTCCTCGTCCAGTTTGTTCTCAACGGACTTAGAAGAGGAACCAGTACGAGTTAGATCCCGGGATTATGCCATGTTTTTGGACTGTTTTGTATGTGGTCGAGCATATTTTTGGAGAATAGCCGACTTTACTTTCCCTTTTCATTCACGGACTGCTTCAATAGAGTAGTACCAATGATACTTGGTACTACTTCTCTTAACACTTTTATTCTTGACGAAGAAGTTGAGGGAACTTAATCTGGCATAACCAAACAAGAAACGTTCCGTAAAATCTCTCAAAATATCTCTTATCCAAACCCAATTCGCTTGTAAACGTCTCTGTAAATTTCGGACCCTTGGACGTGACAGAGAAAGTCAGGCGATAAAAACAATAGAATTTTGACAGCTGAAAGTAATTTGCATGACCTCAGCGCGCATGCTCTCCACCTGACATAGCCCCTTTAACTGTTAGCAGGTTACGGTTAGAAGTGAATTTGTAAAATGCCTAAGAGTAGAGCTGACAACAAAGTTCAGGCCCCGGTTGTTCAAACCTTGCATAGCCCTATCCACCGGATATGATATAGAGGAATTACATAGCAGCGCGGGGATACGAATTTTATCTTCGAGTGCTGAAAGTATCTCCCACGTGTGAGCGAGGCGAACGAGTGACAGATACTTTCAGCTCAAGAGGATAAAATTCGTATCCCCGCACGGCCATGTAATGTGCATGTTCTATTTATTTTATAGATACTAATAACATTCCTACACAAAACACAACTTTTTTATATTCATTTTCGAAACAGCAAAATAATGCGATTAAAGTGGTCACCTATCGCAAAATGCCTGTCTCAAAAATGTTATAAAACTCGGATATAAAGTTATAAAGGAGAAATAAAGACAATAATACTTATATTTTTTGTTTCAAAAAGCTAAAAATTAATGTCAGTAACCATGGCGACACCAATATCCTCACACTTAAAAGATAAAAATAGTATCTTCACCGCGCGCGACGAAGATATGATTTTTTAGTAAAAGGAAAAATCCTGGTATTTCATCAGCATCTATATAATAAAAATTATTATCCAGTGGATAGGTATGAGGAAAACTAATTGCGTTATCCAGTGGATAGGGATTTATCGGGTGGATATATATAGCGCTATCCACCTTTCGAACAAATGGGACCAGATATAAATAGCGTGGAAAGGTAGTATATTTTTCACCCCAACATTTTACAATGATTTGACTCATCACGAGGTAAGATGTGGAGACAGCCGCATTATCGCAAACGGTTGCCTGCAATTTATTTATTTAATAACGATCTTACCATTTACTATCAGTTGTACAAGTGCCTGTGCCTGTCCTAACTTGTTGACCGCTGAACAGTTGTATGTACCCGAATCACTTCCTCGAACATTTTTAAGAAGCAATTTTCCTCCTGACACCATTGACCGACTGGACTGTCTGTTCGTTTTACTCCACACTGTAACGGGATTAGGAGTATCACTCACAGAACAATGAAACGAGGCTAATCCACCTTCGTTAACTGTCAGCGTTTTAGGGGACACAGCAACAGCCTTGAGATGAAGTATTCCTTTTCTGTACTTCAAGTAAGCTATACGCAAACTTCAAGATGTCAGCGAAGCCCCGTCTCGGTACTGAAAAAATTTGTGCACAGGCTTGTGCAACCTATTCCTTAAAGGGTTTACGGAAACGAACTGATAGCACTATACTGGTAATTGGTATAAAGGGATTGACAATTGTGTAGGCCAAGGTTAAAAGTTTAACAGTAGACCAGTGGAAATTTTCAGTGAAATCCATTTGCAAACGTAACTTACCACCATTCTCTTTTTGCTGGTTCTGTAGCTCCGATAAGAAAGACTTATTTTTAATAAAGTCATCAAATATAAGTTAGATATAATATGATAATGCGTGAGCTTCGCCTAATTATTGTGTTAATTATTGTCTTTTAGTTAATCGATGATTTCAGTGGCTTTCTCCAGTTTTGATTTTGGTCATTATGCCTCTTGTTTTGGTTCAAATATTCCCTATAGGGATTGTCTATCACTTTGGAGCAGTAATGGGAGATAATGACTCGAGGACATAGTAATTAGAAATATGTAATAAACTTTGACCACTGTTTGACAAATGTTAAATGGTGATGACGATAAATGAGCTATTTTTAAATAGCTCTTTAATTTGCATATACGCATTTCATTAAAGCGAACCAAATCACGCAAGTTTCACTTACTTTGTAATTGGCTTTCACGTTGTGACACATTTTTCTTCAATTCTAATTCGAGAAAAGAAGAATTAAAATTATAAGTGTTAAAGAGATAGTTGTTCTTTTTACTGGAGACCGGTATAAATTTACCGTACACTCAAATTACTACTAATACATATTAAATATGACAAGGACCCCGATATTCCTATGTGTGTATGTCCTTATTTTCTTATCATAGAGATTGCGCCTTTCTTTATCAGACTTGTTTTACGTTCAACCCTAGCGGCAACCAGACCACTTTTGATGTTTTCAAAAAAACAACAAGAACGCTCTTAGAAGCGGGTGCTAGTCTCGCTTGCTTGGAGATTAGCTAAGAAATGACAACGCGATTAATTTTACACGAAACAGGATTTCCTCGCTAAACGTTTTTCACTTCCTACTTTATCGACGGTCGAATATTTTTCAGGAAACTTACCTTTTATATCGCATTCGACGATTTGTTTCTGAATTGATTTTGTACGCGTGTTAGCAACGACCGGAAATACGTCTGTGGTCGCAGGCTATACGCGTGTACTGAAATAAACGAAAACTCAAGGTTCTCGATTTGAGAGGAATCACATACACCATTGCCAGTGATCAAAAACGTGATGAACAAGGCGCGTCATTTCAATCATCGCCAAAAATAAACCGCATACTCATCACACGACTCATTTGCATACAATGAAAGTTGACAACACCCGACCAGTTTAATAGCCTCACTATCGAATTTTGCTAATTAAGATTCTTCTTTTTCTTTCAACCACTGAAGTGTTCACTTGTTTCAAAGTAATCAACGCTTTCAAGCGACAGAATTCGTGGACCGACCCTTTCCGTAAAAGCTCTAAATTGCATTAATCATTCCTAAGCATTCTTCGCAAACCATGCGTGGCCTCGGTCACGAAACGATTCTTATTCCCAGTTTCAACCGCCTTCTGTAGGAACGCCTGGGACCATGATCTCCTTTTGTGTACCAAATACGAAAAAAAAAAAGGAAAAAAAAAAAAAGTGTCCAAGGTATGATACACGGTCTCCACAAAGCAGAAATAAGTGTGTTAAACCAAACACACCGAATGGGCGGAAACAAGAAATTTTATTATAAGAAAAGGAACACGCAGCGAATAGTAAGAACCAGGGCCGGGGAAGAGGTGAAAAAAAAAAGGAAAAAAAAAAAAGGCTTCCAGGTTATGAGTCACGCTGCCCCGCAAGCGAGACTAATTCGCTTAATCACAATCCGCCATGTTGGATGCAACGTCACCATTTTTCGTATGAAAGCGAGGCCACGCGTGTTAAAACAATCATGGCGGAGTCGATGAGTACTTCGACTTCTTCAGAGTTTTGGCACCGCAATCTAGTGGACATACCGTTGTTCACAAGCGCCTTTATTGACAAAATGGCTAGTAAAAACCTTCCAATGAAGGTGACATTGACAAGAGGCTATAAATTCTTTCACGAATCATATATCCACGATGTCGAAGGTAAGCTTCCGGATGTGACTGCATTGAACGTCATTGCTCGATAATCGTTACTTGTGCCTTTTGTAGTAGTCGAAGTTTAGAGTCTGGTCGAAACAAACGCAAAATATGTAATTTTTCACAGTTAAGCTTGCTAAGGAAGAGGAGGGAATTAGGGTGAGAGCAAAATGCTTCAGAAGTATGAAAAAGAATGAAGAGCGCCACAGACTTCATGTGGTGTTCAAGCGTCAAAATGAAGTGGCAGTGGAGTCATTTATGTGTAGCTGTGCAGCCGGTCAGGGCCTGTATCACCACGTTATTGGGCTCCTGTATACACTTGCTCATTACAAAATGCTCGGGTTAAAAAGTGTACCGCCTGTTGTTTCTAAAACATCCAAACCGCAGGTAAATTTCTCAATAAAATTGTTTAGATAAGTACAGACTAGCGATATCATTTTTACTTGAGTTATTGGAGTGAACTTCAGCCTTCTTTAATACTCGTTCTAATGACTTATTTCTAGACTTGGCATATTCCTTCCAGAACCGAAGGAGTTAGTCCAAGGCTAGTTATGGATGTTGTGATCCAGAAGGCTGAGAACCCTTCTCAGCAACCTGCCCAGGTTAAGAAAAACCGGAAGGTGTCGGGGGTTTCTTGTACTGTGTACAAGGCTTTTGAAGAACAGCTTGCTTCCCTTAATCTACCAAGTACCCTCAGCCCATTGTTTGACAAGCTTGACCCCAAGCCTGGGTTTTTGAGGATTTGGCCAGAGGAAGATGAAGACATTCCTCTAGTTGAGACAAAGTATGGGCTGGTTCCACGGGGGTCTGTCCTCTCCTATCAGCAGCAACAAACAAGTAAAAAAAGCTCTGAAAACCTTGCTCATCCAGTGCCAAATTTTGACTTGCCAGATTTTGGGTTCCCGCCAACTGTCCTTACTGAGAAAGAGCTGCTGCACTTCAATTCCCTTGCAGTATCTTTGGATCAAGCCCTTGAATATGAACAAATAACAAGAGACCAATCAATGTCTCGGGACTGGCATCGCTTAAGAAAGTACCGCCTGACTGCGTCAAATTTTAAAGTAATCTGTTCGCGAAGGAAAGATCATGAGAGCCTTTCAGCCCGTCTGTTGCAAAGGAAAGTGGTGCAAACAGCTGCCATGAGATATGGCATTCAGCATGAGGATGAGGCTGCAAATCAGTATGCAGATCAATTTGGAAGAGCTGTTTATCCGGTTGGTTTTGTTATCAATCCTTCCTTACCGCACCTTGGTTGTAGTCCTGACAGAAGAGTTTATGACCCCTCTGAAAATGAGCCATGGGGATTACTAGAAATTAAATGCTCTCCATCAGACTATTTGTCTGATCATAGTTATTAGAGGAGACTGGTTATGAAAAGCGGCAAACATCAATGATAAAAACAACAGTGCTGCAGTTTATGTTGGAAGCACCCTGAAAGTGCATAATCCTTTGTTTTCTGTTGGCGAATTGTTACGGAATAAATTAATGCAACGTTTTTATTGGTCAATACAATCAAAATGATAGGAATTCTTTTGAACGTTGTGCACTTTCAGGTCCACAAAAACATATAATAAAGGAGTCTGACGGGTTTCATAACCATTCCACTCAATTAACTATGGTCTGATTTAAATTACTTAAAACATAATGGTAGAACTGGTGCATACTCTCTCAAAAAGACTCACGCATATTATTATCAAATCATGGGCTGTGTTGGTTTGACAGGTAGTGCTTGGGAGGATTTTTTTGTCTTTTGCCGCAGTGAGTTCCACCGTGAAAGAATTTATTTTGATGCTACCTTTTTCTCAGAGATGCTTGAAAAGCTCAACCGCTTCTATTTTGACATTCATCTTAATGCTTCTGTTTTCTATGAATGTATACTGTTGTGGGGGATTTGATGACATAAAGATGGTTTTGTATTGTGTCTAAGAAACATTACCATTGCTGGGTATGTATATTATGCTGGGGTTGAAAATATTTTCCTTGGTTAAAAATTGTTCAAACCAGTTAAATTTTTTCCCTTTTGTTGTCTCAGTTTATGGTAATAATTGATTTAAGACAAAGGTAAAGAAAAATGAAACTGGTTTGAACAATTTTAAACTAAGGAAAATTTTGAACCACAACACTGATATACAAATGTGCAGTAATTTGTCACATTTTCATAGATTGATGTTGAGTCACCATATTCAAATAGTATATCTGCTGAGAACAACTGTTAAACTTTATTATCTCATATCAAAGTCAAAATGAGCATTTTTCTTAAGTCCAAAAAGTTTGAAAATAAAAAAAAAAAAATAAAATAAAAAAAAAATATATATATATATATATACATATTTTTAACATTATACTTGTAACATATTTTGAGTAAGCAAGAATTTGTGGTGTATTTTTCTTGCATTATTTCATGAAGTCATTCATAAAATAAAGGTCCCTGAAAGTTTGTAATTAGACATGACACTGTCCATATCTGGTTGATACTGCCTGCCATAGTTAGTGGGATCACACTATCAAAGAAATGAAACTCCTTGACTCTCCTAATAGCCCTTTCAAAATGCACCCGAAGGTTGTGAAATGTTTTGCTCCTTAGGAGTTCACCTTTGTAAAACTGCTGTTTGCAGCTCAAAAATGATGGCATCACTACACTGCAACCAACAGGTGTGAGTAGATCCTGTATCACAAAGCCCTTATCAGCCATAATCTGATCCCCAGGCTGGAGCAATGACAAAAGACCAGATTGCTTGACCAGCTCTTTATCTGATATGGACCCGTCAAATAAAGAACTGATGTGAATTATTTCTCCCGATGGTGAAATAACAACATTACCCTTGTAGGTGGTGTGGGTTTTGTACGATGAGTACATTTCACTATTTGAGACTAAACTTGACGGTGCCTGAACCTTTATCTCGGAAGCATCAATAATACCCCTGCAGTCTGGGTACAGAGACTTGAAACAAGTGGGCATGTGCTTCTCGATTTTTGCTCGAGATGGCCAGATACAAATACTCCCAAGCATGAAATAAAGAAAATTAATCCAGGAGATAAAAACCCTGCTGACGGTTGTTTGGGAAATATTAAAATTATCAGCTAATACTTGATTTAAGGTACCAACCCTCAACTTTTGAAGAACTAAATAGAACTGGTCAAATAAACTTAGTTTGCAGGCTTGCATAGTTTGTCTAAGGCCTTAAACATCCCTAATCCCTTAATTTCTAAGGCGCTGCATTTGGGACCAAGAAAACATATTCTGTGCCGTGGGACTCAGAGCTCTAAATGTTGCAACTAGAAAATCAAAAGAAGGAAAACCCGTGTAAAACCTAATGCTGCTGTTAGGTTTCATTTTTAGTTGTACATATATTGTTTGCTTCTCCAGTGCTACCTCCAGCTCCTCTATTCTCTGATGAGCTGCTTCAAGTAGCTTCTCTGTGGTCGTGGGAGGTTCACCAGAAAAAATGTAATCGTGACAATTCAAGGTAGGCGTGTATATGGGCTCGGGGAGTCTACAACAACAGGAGAGGATGGAGAGGATAACAATTGGACCGCCATTGGACTTTCCTCATCAGAAGTTGGTGCTATGGATTAAATGAAAAACCTAAATACCTCAGATTATTTCACGATTTTAACCAAGACAAGTTTAAAACAATGCCGACAACAATACACTGACAATATTTACTTGTGATGGGGACAGTTGGGGGCGATGACATGCTCACATCAAATAATCGCAGGCGTGCACGTGGTGGTTCTCGCTTTTTCGGAGATTTTCTTTTTCTGGGTGATCTTGACCAGCCAAACATACTTGGAACTGCATGCTTCTTCAGATCTTCTTCCCTGTTAAAGTTCTCTTGAAATCCGCTTCTTTAAAGTATACAGAGCATACTCTTGTGCCGTTGGTTATCTAGAAATGGACCAGATAATAGTTGTAAATAAGCTTACATGTGCGCACAATGACATCGATAAAACTCACCAAAGTACTTGCACGAAAACTTTTGCCCACGTCTCGCCGTATTTTGACAACCCACTGCTTTCGAAGGAATTCATCCTTCGGAAATTGGTGAAAGGTGAGTCCTGGAATATTTTTAGCGCGATTGTTTTGACATTGCGGCACGCAACAGTGATCTCTGTTCGGCATGTTGTGGACTTTTACACTCGTGGCCTCGCTTTGGTGACAAAAGTTCATGACGTCAATCCAAGATGGCTGCTGTGCGATAAAGGCGATCTAAGAAACTAATTAAATTCTAAGAGACTAATGAAATCTAACTAGTGGTCAATTATCAATGCTGCGTTCTGATTGGTTGAGCCACTACTAGGCTATATGTTATAGCCCACTAGTAGCGAAAAGCGCGGGCTTTTTGGCGGCAAAAAAGGATTTAAGTCTAGCTTTAACTAGCTAACAGTTTATTCTCGATATTTTTGACCAACTAGTTGGATTTTACTAAAATAATTATTCCTCTCGCCCTCATGGCCTCTAAGTCAATAACACATTCGGTCTTCGGCCTCATGAGCTATTGATATTCACTCACACAATACCAGATATGCCTCAAATCTTGACTTTCATGTACCACGTGTAAGGTCAAATTACGGCAAACACACATTTCAGTTTGCCATAACCAAAACTTGGGAAGAGATTCCTACTAAGATAAAAACACTTAGCTACCATAAGTTCAAAAAAGAATATAAGCGAATTATAGTTAACTCTCAAAGGTAACAATTGTAATATGACTGTCTCACATCACCTGACTTGTAGCATAATCGTTCATGATAGTTGACATGGCACCAAGCGCACATTTATTATGTATTTCCAATCATAATATAGCTGTGGTTAGCTCGAAAGCTAAGCTCCTCTGACGACCGTACACTTCTACCCAAGCCAATACTTGTCTTTTTTCTTTTCCTTCTTCTTCTCCTTTATAGTGTATTCCTACCTTGCAAATATTTTATAAAAGGGTGAATAATAAAAATTGAATTGAATTGAATTGAACTCAGAGCCCATTTGGGCTCGAGGAATAATTGTTTCCTAAGTCCAACCATGCGAGCTTGTTGTTCTTTAATTAATAAAGTCAGAGGGGTCTAGCGGCTAATGAACCAACACCAAGTATTCCGTTGTATTCAGTGTACTGAGCTCATTCAAGTATTACACGCATTCTCAGGAATCGCCAAAAAAAGCTCCCCCCCCCCCTCGCACTCCCAGAAGTCTCTCGGGGTAACAAATTTGTACAAACAAAACCATGTCCCTTAAAGTAAAAGAAATCTAAAAGTGTGTTGCTAAAATGTAGAATCGATTCCAGTAAAGGTGGGAAGGTAGCGGACCAATTAAAATTTTAAAGTATCTCACCATCATTATCCTAAGTTTTTTCAGTTTGTATTGCTCTGACAAAAAAAAATCAAGTAGGAGTTAGTTTTTGTCTCATGGTGATAATACACTATTAGAAATCTAATTAACTTCATGACTGGATCCCTGGTTAGGAGAGAGACTAAGGGGTATTACTTTCTTTCAGAACTGAGATCAAGAAACGAGGATATATTATTTATAAAATCTATTTTAGAAAATAGTTTGGTTTTCCTTTGGCATGAGCTATTCAAGTGTTTCTTTCTAAATAACGCTTCAGGTTGTTTTTCCATTTGTACCTTGAGGAGAGCTAGTTGCCAGGATTGATGTCGGATCTGGAAAAAAAAAAAAAGAAAAGAAAAGACGCATGAACGCGTGGTAGTGTTCGAAACTTTCACAAGTGACAGAAAATATATCAGTTATTTCTCGTTCCTCTAGTTTTCAACAGCCGTGTAGGATTCTGTTTGGGATTAGTTTGGTAGTATCGGCACTTCATTGCAACGATTTAAAGGATTCAAATGGTTATTTTTACTGAACGCGCAAGACCTTCTCATTCATCCGCGGTATTTGAGTTAGTCACAAATCAAGATATACACAAACGCTAAGGCAAATAAAAATTTAATCGTATTTCCTACCAAAAAAAAATAAGAGTTATAAATAAGCCCACCGGGTTATAAACGTGTTTTCTCCTTGGACCTATCATTTCAATCAAGCACTCCAAAAAAATGAAAATAAATAATGGATTTACTTACTCTTTAATTGGTTTTCAAGGTGTGACACCTTTTCTAAATGAGAAGAGAAAGTCAGAGCAAACATAATACGTCTAAAAAGATTCCCGATATTCTTATATACTGTATTTGCTATTGCTTCTGTTCCTAAAAGGATGTACGAAAAGTTGTTGAAAATACCCCTTGCTACAAAATAATTTATTTATTTGTTGGTCCAATTTAGACTCGATTCCCTCGGCCAATGCCAAATCAACCAGCGTGACAGGCGTTCGAAAGGGAAGGGAAAGGAGATTTTGGGTGCCGATGCGAGAGAAACGCGAGGGGCGCACGAGGAGGGCTGGGATTGACATGTTTTTTTTTGACTGACCAATCAGGATTTTAATACTCTCCTGTTGGATGTTTATCACGTGAAAAACAATGGCCTCCTTCAGCAGGCGTTTCCCTCCCTCTCTCCCTCCTTGCGCGCCCCTCGCGTTTCTCTCACGCCAAAAATCCCCCTTCCCTTCCCCTTCGAACGCGCTCCTACCACGCAGGCTAATGCCAAAGTTAAAAGGTAGTCCTGAGTGGGGATGAATTGAAGTTATTTACAATATGAAGCAACTTATCATCATTCTTTTTCTTCACGTTCTTTAGCTCTGATGAAAAAAAAAAACAAAAAAAACCGGTTTTTATCAAAGTAATCAAATACGAGTGAGTCATTGCTCAGTTCTTGTGATGAAATATTGCATTTCAGCCGACTCCCCGTAACTCGAACCTTCAAGGGAAGTCGAAAAAGGTTCGAGTTATCGTGAGTTCCAGTTATCGGAAGCTCGATGATTTTAGCCCGGAGTAAGGAAAAAAACAGTTCTTACAGCACAGAGAGCATTTTAATCACATTTACTTGTAGAAATGTTAAGTGAAAATTAAAAGATACTTCTAGATTATAAATCAAAACGTAAGGTAACAAAACATTACCGAAATAGAGCATGCATTTTACTTTTTGGGAAGTTAAGCTGTTTCACGTTAGATTTGTAGCAAACAGCATCAGCCTACAATAGTAGACTTTATCCACTAGTAAGCTATATGCCTACAGCACGACAATGGTAAATTCAAAATTCAATGTTTCGAACGCCAGTACACTGTTTTTTTCCCCTACTTTATAAGGGCTCAAAACATGGTTCGAGTTATCGGGGGTAAAATTATATAGCAATGATCTGAGTGGAAACAAAAAGTACTTCGAGTTAGCGTGAGGTTCGAGTTATCGAGTGTTCCAGTGACCGACGGTAAAATTACAGTAAATGTATGACGGAAATCCAGGGGAAATCGATTTAGGTTCGAGTTAGCGCGAGGTTCGAGTTAGCGAGGGTTCGAGCTATCGGGAGTCAACTGTAATTCCTACTGGTATCTGTAGATGTGCCAAGAGTTTCCAGCATGCCTTACCTTAAATATGGGGCAAAGTCGACCTGTAGGTGGTTCAGTTGTCACTAGTGATCTTTCCTTTTTTTATTGCAGGTTTCTCTAATCCTATGGAGAACTCAAAAGTGATATTTCATTCAAATTATTACCAGGTTCCACCAACAATACATTGCCATACCAAAATAGCCCATATGGTTGAGATGTACTCTTGTACTCATCGATATGAAGTAAAATAACAGCTATATTGAATAATGAAATTAAGAATGATAGTAAAAATCGTTCGGCTTATGATAATGCTGATGCTAATATCTATGATACTTCTAATAATTATAACAATAAGGGTAATGATAATAGTTATTATGAGTAAAAGTTTGTTCTCAATCATCCGCTCATGTAACCGAGCTCGATAATTAGCTCACAAAGCATTTTCTTTTCGGTATTTTTGCGGTTCCGTTTATCGTTTTCCCACGGTACGCGTTTCTTTAGTTGTGCTTTGTGGTTAGCCGTGTTTTATCTAGCTCTGTGATTTCTCCGCCTTTACACCCATAAACAGGAAAGGAATTAATTGATTTAGCTCGCTTTAATTTGCCGCCATTGCTGTAGTTAACCGCGAAACTCTCCATTTGTTTCCTCCTATTGTATTGTGTTTCGCAAACAGGCGTATTGCCAAAAGGAAGATTTCACTGTTTTGTGGCTTACCTAGCTAAAGTTGTCCAATCGTATTGCTAATAACAGGATGCGAGCTGTTTGTGTTCCGCGCGATATAAATACGCCTGCACGTAGCATTTCTACGCATCGCATTAGTACAGTTCCAGTTGCCGCGTTCACTAGTCAAGCCGTAGGACATAGTTTTGTAGAGTTCTCCCCTCGCTGGAGTGGGTAAGTGTTCTCCTTTTGCTGTTTTTCCTAGGATGTTTTTCGTTCTCCTCCGAGGTCATCGTGTTTATGAAACGTCAGCGACCGTAGTATTACTTTGCTGTTGTAGATTTCATCGTTTCTTGGTTTTGTCGTTTTCCGCTGTTGTATCGAGCACTTTCGCTCTGAAGTCATTATCCTTTAGTTTCTTAGCCGTTGTTATTCCTTTAGCATAGTGTTTTGCTTAGTTTTGCCGCCGTTTCATGCGAGATCGTAGATCACAACCTTTCAGTTTGACCTCGTTTAGCGTTTGTTTTCTTGTCTTCGTATCATATGACTCTTGACACGAGTCACGTGCTATTTGTCACGCTTGTTCTTCTTTCGTGACCTAGCATGTTTCCTAGCGCGTTTTGTTTACTTTTTGCATTTTAGTGTAGTTTTGTTCCCTTAGTTGTATTGTTTAGCCGTCTTAGTAATTTTTTTTAGCGTTGTTGTTTCCTTTTAGCGCTATTGCCCTTTTCATCGCCCTTTTGTTCCCTTTTTGTTGCTTTATTCGTTTTTCTAGTATTTGTTGTTATTGTATTTCTTTTCCACTAATTGGCCATTAAATTCTTGTTTGTTTCGTATGCATTTTGTCTTTCATTGGTTGTCATTCGCTACCTCCCCTACTCGCGCGGCTCGGTCACACTCAGTCAGTTTCTTACTTCTTTGATACCTTTTGCCCGCTTCTGAGATCGTAAAGGTTGAGATCACAGTAACCAGAACTGAAGCGATAGCAGCTGTAGTCCTAAAGATAAATGATACACTCTGCAGATCCAGATACGATTGTGATAGATTATTTTTTTGACGATTCTTTAGTGCATGTAATTATAA